AGCAAATAATGATGAAAAATAAACTTTTCCCTTTGTTTTTAATTTCAGGAAAAAATGATGAGAACCAAAGTCAATGAATAAGAAAAACAGCTCAGAAAAAAGATGTTTCCAAATTGGTAATTAAATATTTTTTCCTTGGGAAGAGACTTCCATGTGAGCTTGATGGAAAAATGGAAAAAACATCAAAAGCATGATCTGATCAGCTCCCAAAGTGGATTATTATTTTAAAAACCAGATGGCATCGCTCTGGGGAGGCAAGTTCAGAAAGGTCAAGCTAGCAAAGGACATAACAATAACAGCAAAATCAAAATTCCCCAAATGCAGGAGGCAAATGGGGACTGAGAAAGCTCAATAACAGGGTGATTAGGCAGTTGAGCATGTTCGTAACATCTCCCGTCTATACCAGGGAGCACAAAAATGGACTGGGCTAAGCCTGGATTTTTAAGGGAAAGATGAAAAACTGAGAGCAAAACAAAAGACATGGTTAAAAGGCAACTAGAACATTGTGAGTCCTCAAAGCAGCAGTGCCCCTCTGCAGGGACCAGGTGGTGTTTGCCTTTAGGAAGTCCAGTTTTCTTAAGGAACCTTAAGAAACTCTTGAAAGATCATGAATTTTAACCATTTTAAGTATTGAACAAATATGTGATGCATAACCAGTCTAGACATAGGTAACAACTTTGTAAAGTCAGGCATGCAAGGATACTGTGTCGCAGCTTCAGATAGGTGAGAAATCATTAGAAATCACCATCTCCCCACCCTAACTTCTTCAGACTGATCTGCCATGGCCCTCATACACAGGCCCGATGCATCTGACCTATAACCAAGTCTACAACCCAAGTGCCTGAACCGTTGTTAACACCATCTCAGTAGGTCCCATTACAAATGCCACCTCCCCTGTGCAGCCTATCCTGCTGCCACTGTTGAGGTCTGCCTCACAATGTTACAGCCAGAAGCTCTGTGGGGATGGGGGTCTGTATCTTACACATACCTGTATGTGCTACATCTTAGCTCACTGCAACCTCTGTCTCCCAGGTTCAAGCAATTCTCCTGTCTGAGCCTCCCAAGTAGCTGGGACTACTGGCGCATACCATATGCCAGGCTAATTTTTGTATTGTTAGTAGAGATGGGTTTGCACCATCTTGGTCAGACTGGTCTTGAACTTGTGACCTCAGATGATCTATCCACCTCAGCCTCCCAAAGTGCTGGGATTACAGGTGTGAGCCACTGTGCCCGGCCGAGGGTAGGTGTTTAATAACGAATAACTTGAATGATTTGCTAAACCAACAGGGAAACAGACAAAAGCTGCAATAATTTCAGGGATTCCCAGTATGGGGAATGGTGCTATAAACTGCCTGCCCAGTCCCAGGCCACTTGTCCTCATCACTTCTCATCACTTCCTTCCCTCATACTCATTTTCAGGCTAAGTTACCATTTTATTCACCATGCTTTTGTGGTAAGCCTCCACATTGTTACTGAAATAGAAGTATACATAAACTAATTCCATTTGGGGCTCTCTCTGTGTGTGTGTGTGTGTGTGTGTGTGTGTGTGTGTGTGTGTGTGTGTGTAGGGGACGAGGGCGTACCCCAGAGACTTCTTGAATCCCCCCGGTGAAGGTTTCCTCTCCAGCTGGGAGAGCCCTGCAGGAACCCGGAGTCCTGAGTGTCCTGAGCAACCCGCCAGCCTGTGCCACTGGCTGTTTTGTCCTCACTCTTCAGGGCTCTGTTGCTTTCTATTTTTGTGGGGCTCGTTCATTCATCCAGACATTCACTGACAATTTACCAAGCAAATAAATTTTGACACCAGAGACAAAATAGTGAGCAAAGTAGTCAGTGTCCTACCTTCATGGAGGTGACAGTTTCTCATGGAAGACGTGCAGAGAAAAATTAATAGCCATCCAACTTAAACCCAGTGCGGAAAGGAGGGAAATTAACACCACCTTGAATAATCGTGCAGTGCCCCTTAACAATGCCGCCTCCCTAGCGCCCCCTGCTGCCTCCATCGTGCGCAGAGGCCCCCCAGGCCAGAGCCTTCCAAGCCTCCTCCTCCATCAGCTTGGCACTGCAGCTGGCCTGCCTCCCGTGCTGTGAATTGCCCTGGCTCATCTGAGCTGGAGACTCCTTGGCTCCCGGCTCCAGAAAGGAAATGGAGATGGAAACTAGTCTAACGGAGAATCTGGAGGGGACAGTGTTTCCTCAGAGGAAAAGGGGCCTCCACGTCCAGGAGAATTCCAGGAGGTGGGGACTGCAGGGAGTGGAGACTCTGGGGCTGAGCGGGTGCTGAAAGGCAGGAAGGTGAAAAGGGCAAGGCTGAAGCTGCCCAGATGTTCAGTGCTGTTCACGGGACTGGGAGTTTGCTGTTGCTTCCTGTGAGCCTTTTTCTCTTTTTTTCTGCCTGGAGGAGAATAAGTCTATTTCATGAAGGGATGCAGTTTCATAAAGTCAGCTGTTAAAACTCCAGGGTGTGCATGGGTTTTCCTTCATGCAAGGCCTTTAATTAATGGGAATATAGGAAGCAATCTCATTTTGTAGGCCATTAATCCATGGAAGAAGTGACTGGAGTCTTCTTTCATGTCTTCCGGGCAACTACTCAGTCCTTCGGCGGATTTGGTTTATGCAAGATGGTTGAAAACCTTGGAATCAGGAGAATCAGTTTTCTTTCTGGTTCTGCCATTTGTTGGCTATGCAGCCCAGGGCAAATGTCTCTCCTTCCCTAGCCATAGTATTCTCAGCTGTAAAGACCCTTGCAGCTCTGGTGTTCTGTGAACATTTCCCTGTGATTCTATGTGAGGGGGGATGCTGAGAGAGAAAGGAGGCAGAGCTGGAGCCGCTGAGCTACAGTGGACGTGGAGGGGGACAGGAAGGCAGGCAGAACACGGGCACTCCATCAGTCCTCACTGATCACATCAGACTCCAGGACCGATAGCCACAATGCTTCAGGAAAGCTCAATGAACCCAACAGCCACGTTTTCTTTCCCTATGCATATACAGTGGCATTTGCCAAGAACCAAAAAAATGCAGAGACCAACAGGTGGTAGCTTTTGCCTGGCATTCAGAAACTGGGCCAGAGCTAGAGAAATGCCAGAGATTGTTAAACTTTTCACCCTGACCAGCATCCACACAGCTCAGCAGTGACTGCTGACGGCACAGAGTGACCTGCAGCGCAGGGGAGGAGAAGAAAAAGAGGAATAAAGTATGGGTAAAAAAAAATACAAAGATTCATTCAAGGGCAGTGGGAACTGACCACAGGGATTATAGGCCGCGTGATACTGGGTTCTGGCAGGCAGGGCTATATCGTGAAGAAAAAGAAATCAATTCAAGGGAAGCCAAGAGACCCAATTTCTAACACTATATTCTTCCTTTACAAGCAGAGTAATTCTGAGCAAGTCACAGATAGTAACTGGAGGCTGGAAGATACTTAACATTTCTCCTCATTGGGAACCCCTTTCCTCCGTGGAGTTAGCAGCACAAGGACAATCCTGTTTAACAGAAAGAAAACATTCCTAAGAGTAAAGCCAAACAGATTCAATCCTAGTTCTTGCTGACTATATGATTGGTTTTTTGAAACATCGTTTCAGCGATGTTTACCATCTGATTCAGAAAGTGAGAACAGTACCCTTTGGTCAGCTGTAAACAGACACCCATTTGTAAATGTCTCAAGTTCAGGCTTAACTTCAGAGCCAATCAAATAAGAATAGAATCTTTAGAGCAAACTGTGCTTCTCCACTCTGGAGGCGAGTCTGCCAGGGCGGATCAGAAATATTTACTTCACAAGCATTGACGACGTTATTGGTATTAACAACATAACCAGTGTTGCTCAAATGCAAGCGTTCTTTTAAGTGGCTTCAAGTTACTTCCCACCGTTTGGGTATATTTATTGGCTACTACCATTTGCTTTTCGTTTTTTTCTCTTTGAGTTTATTACTGTAAAGCAGGGATTATTAACCTACAATCCAGAAAGCCTGTACATTTGAATGGGGAAACAATTACATTTCTATTTTTACTGCCTTCTAACAAAATTTAATGCTTTATTCCATTGTGAATAGAGCCATAAACTCAAAGTTGTAATAACAGTGCCTGTGGTTTTGTCATCACCAATAGCAGTCACAGACATTTTAACTACATTGCAGTTGTTACAGGTATGTTGTAAGTGAAATATCACTTACACTCAAAACTATTTTGAAATTAGACCTCCTCCCAGATCTTGTTTTTAATGTGTTAATAAAGCATTTATTTTTAAATTTTAATATTTTGATAATTATATTTCAGTATCATTTGTTTCCTTTGTAATCTATATTTTATAGATTTCAAAACATCTTTCTGAGAAGGGTTCCACCAGTTTGACCAGTGAGGTTCATGGCATGCACAGACACGCAGACACATGCACACACACAGAGTAAGAAATGATTTAGAGGCTAATATTGACGTTGGTGCCTGAGATGCAAGACTGAAATTACAAAGTTCTCCCAAAGATACACAGTCGTTCTAAAGCTAGGGCTGAGGGAGGAAATCTGCCACTTCTACAGGAATGCTCTCCCTAGAGCCTGGTGGGGTGCTGTCCTTGTTTTCTGGCTGCCTGTTATTTGTCTCTGTCCCTGCTACATGTCTAAAGGACTTGTCTGGATCCCGAGTTCCTAGCACAGTGCCTGGCACAGTGCAGATTCTCAGTGACCTTGCACAGTAGATGGAAATATAAACTAGAAATATATCCTTGTTCAAATCAGCACACCAGTAGTCCTGTTAAACAAAGGGCACATGTATCAAGTATGTGTGTGTGTGTGTGTGTGTGTGTGTGTAAAATCAGGTAGGGATAGAGAAACTATTATTGGGGTGTGGGTGAATAAATTGTGATGTTCTTTTTTAAAAGAAGCTCCAAAAAGACTTCTGGAAGGTTATTCTCAAAGAATCTTGCTGGCAATGTGAAGGCAACCCCCCTGTGCACAGCCCCACCCAGCCTCACGTGGCCACCTCTCTCTCTCCCCCCACAAAAGGCTGGCTCCCCAGTATATATAAACCTCTCTGGAGCTCAGGCATGAGCCAGCAAGGCCACCCATCTGGACACCTCTCAGTACAGGAGAGCTTTCCAGAGGAAGCCTCACCCAGCCTCAGCACTGAGGTTCTTCTGTGCACGTTGCTGCAGCTTTGGCCCTGAGATGCCAGCTGTCCAGCTGCTGCTTCTGGCCTGCCTGGTGTGGGATGTGGGGGCCAGGACAGCGCAGCTCCGGAAAGCCAATGACCGGAATGGCCGATGCCAGTATACTTTCAGTGTGGCCAGTCCCAATGAATCCAGCTGCCCAGAGCAGGGCCAGGCCATGTCAGTCATCCATAACCTACAGAGAGACAGCAGCACTCAGCGCTTAGACCTGGAGGCCACCAAAGCTCGGCTCAGCTCCCTGGAGAGCCTCATTCACCAGCTGTCCTTGGACCAGGCTGCCAAGCCCCAGGAGACCCAGGACAGGCTGCAGAGGGAGCTGGTCACCCTGAAGCAGGAGCGGGACCAGCTGGAAACCCAAACCAGAGAGTTGGAGACTACCTATAGCAACCTCCTCCAAGACAAGTCAGTTCTGGAGGAAGAGAAGAAGCGGCTGAGGCAAGAGAATGAGAATCTGGCCAGGAGGTTGGAAAGCAGCAGCCAGGAGGTAGCAAGGCTGAGAAGGGGCCAGTGTCCCCAGACTCGAGACACTGCTCGGGATGTGCCATTAGGCTCCAGAGAAGGTAAGAATGTGGGGTGGAGGGACTCTCAGTTCAGCAGGTGATCTGGCTCATAGCAACCTGCTCCAGGCGCTCCAGGCCTCCCTTCCTGCCCTTTCTCCCAGAGACTGCACATCTAGCACAAGATAGATGAATTAAGGCAGGCATAGCAATTCCTTTCAGGTATTCCCAGTAATTTAGCTCCTGAGAGCTTCATTTAAGTTAGTGGTCCTGAGTTCTTGTGCCCCTCCATGACAACGTTTTCACAGTCCATACAAAAGGAGAAATAAAAGGACAAGATGAGATGTATATGCCTATGAGCAGTAGCAAGTTGCCCACTGTCCTTTCTGAAAAACCCCTTTTTGAACCTTTGCTCAGAGATTGTTATTCTTACCTTTTGGCGTTAAAATGCCCTTTATTTATAAAGTTACAGTAGATTTAGGAAATGATAAGAAGTGGTAAGTTTTTGTTTATTTTTAAATGTTCTTCCTTGGCAAAAATAAAGAGGTGGCACCGCTCTCAGTTCCCTCAATATGTTGTTTCCTTACTCAGTCCAATCTGAGAACCTCTGCTTTTAGTCACCAGACAAATCCTTGAGGTGGCTTTTTTTCACTGAGAGGCTCTTCTGTTCATCCTGGTCCCTGCTTGCCTGAAGGTGAGTCTTGTGTGTGTGTGTGTGTGTGTGTGTGTGTGTGTGTGTGTGTGTTGGGGGCAGGGGGAATACTGTTCTCATTAGCTGGGAAGATAATATTTGTGTCACTTTTTGTGAAAGTGTGCTCCTAAATATTCACTGTTGAGGAAGTTTTCTAATCATGAGGAAATAAGCAAATCCAGTTGTTGGACAATTAGTTTGGACTGGTCAAGATTTCAGTGTCAAGAAAGAAAAAAGTGGTGGGGAAGGGCCTGTTCTCTATTAAAGAGACTAAAGAAATGTGTTCACCAGATGTAGTGCATGAGTCTTCATTGCTGTCTTCATCAAGGGGTAGAAAAGGCTAAAAGGGACAGCTTTGGGATAATTGAGGCCATTTGAATGTAGACTGCTTATTATATTATGTTACTGTATTCATGTTCAGTTTCTTAGTGTGATCATGATACTGTGGTTGTGAAGGAGAAAATCCTTGTTCTAAGGAGGGACATGCTTAAGTACCCAGGGGTGAGGCATCGGGAAGTCTGCAATTTGCTTTCAAATGGTTGAAGAAAGACTGCAAATATACAGAGAATGAGAGAGAGAAAGGTAAGACAATTGTGGTAAAATGTTAATAACTGGTGAATTACAAACTGGTGAATCTAAGTATATGGGGAGCTTATTATACTATTCTTTCAGTTTTTCTACAGGCTTGAAAACCTTTAAAATTATGAGAAAATACTTGCTCAATAAGCCTTCTACATGAAAGACAAGTTCTTCATAGGGATGGGGCTAGAAAACCTAAGAGCCAGAGCCTGGGGATGACCTTGGGCAAATTATTGAACCCTCTAAAACTTCATTTCTTGCCCATAATATGACAAAGAAAATACCTGCTGTGAATAATAATTTTTGTGGGGTTCACATGAAATACCTATGAGATGTAAAGGATTTAAAAAAAAAATCCTAGATTGTTAGAATTGGAAGAGATTCAATTCTGAATTTTACAACCAAGGAAAGTGAAGTCCTAAGGTGCTAAGGGACCAAGGTTGCCCAGCTGGTCAGTGGTAGAGCTTGAGACTTGAACTTAAATCTGTGAAGACAATTGAAAGAATCATAATTACTATTAGTGTGATGAGGCCTTACTTACTCCAGACTGTTACTGAATGGAGTTACATTTACAATAAAAACTCATGGGTGTGGGGGTGTGTGTGTGTGTGTGTACAAAAATAGATGCAATATTTTGGCTTTTTTTTTTTCTTTTGTGGTCATTTAACAAGTCTTTGGGGATTTATTAGATGAGTTTCCTAATTTTATATTTCTTCTTGATCTTTCCATCTACTCCACTTTTGAAATAAGGGCAACATCCCATTATAATGAACACCAGATATGGAAGTTGTTTTCTAGTAGCAAATGGTTTTCATGAGCAGGAAATTACATTAGCAAAAGAATGTGGAACTGGAAAGGGACCTAAGGAGCATCCGGTACCACTGGCTCATTTTTGCAGATACGGAAACTGAGGTCCAGAGAGGTTATTCAGCTAGTCCATGGCCACTACCAGTTAGTGACAAAGCTAGAATTTTGGCCTCTCCCTCTGAGGTTCAGTGACTTTCTTTTTCTTTCTTTTGAGGCAGAGTTTTGCTCTTGTTGCCCAGGCTGGAGTGCAATGGCGTGATCTTGGCTCACTGCAACCTCCGCCTCCTGGGTTCAAGCAATTCTCCTACCTCAACTTCCCAAGTAGCTGGGATCACAGGCATGTGCCACCACACCTGGTTAATTCTGTATTTTTAGTAGAAACAGGGTTTCACCATTTTGGTCGGGCTGGTCTCAAACTCCTGATCTCAGGTGATCTGCCTGCCTTGGCCTCCCAAAGTGCTGGGATTACAGGCATGAGCCATCACACCCAGCCATGAGGTTCAGTGACTTTCGGGACCTTCAGCTGACCTCTAGTTTATAGACCCAAAGGTGAAAGACAGAAAGGTACAGGAATGCTTGCAACAAAAGATCTGCTTCAAGGTTCCAGATCTAGGCAAAAGGGGGCATTCTGGAGGCTGGAATGTAAGTCTAGATGTGCTTCTTTGCAGGAGTGGCAAGAACTAGGTGTAGAGGTTTGGGTAGAGAGGCTTAGTGAGGCTGAGTGGACAAAGGTAAGGCCTGAGAAGGCAGCCTTTCTGTACTCCACCTGCGGCTCAAATTGCTTCCACCACTTTCTTGATCATGTATTAATAGTTGTTATATAGAAAAAATCTTTTTATAATCATGGAAATCATTGGTTATACATACATATAATGTGACGTATTTTACTACATAACTATTACTACAATGTTATAGATAACTTTTTCTACTCCGGCTTATATAAAGTTTCATATATATACATATATAAATTTTATGTATATATAATAGTTTTTGAAAAGTAGAAAAAAATATAATTGGCCAGGTGTGGTGGCTCACACCTGTAACCTCAGCACTTTGGGAAGCCAAGGTGGGCAGAGGTCAGGAGTTTGAGAACAGCCTGGCCAACATGGTGAAACTTAGTCTCTACTAAAAATACAAAAATTAGCTGGGTGTGGTGGTGGGCACCTGTAATCCAGCTACTCCAGAGGCTGAAGCAGGAGAATTGCTCGAACCTGGGAGGCAGAGATTGCAGTGAGCCAAGATCATCACGCCACTGCACTCCAGCCTGAGTAACAGAGTGAGACTCCATCTCAAAAAAAATAAATATATATATATAAGTACACACACACACACACACACACACAATTTACCAGAAGATTAATTAGAGTTAGTTATTTGTGTAACAAGAGAAGGCCTGCTTTGTGACTTAGCCCCTGCTAAATAATAGGGACTGGTCTCCCGTTGAACTGAGCCAGGAAGAGGGCTCGTGTGCAGTTCGCTTATATGGACCATGATCCTAGGGAAGAGATGTGGAGACAGGGGAGAGTGTGAATTGAGACAGGGAAAGAAGGAAAGCCACAAAGCGGGGGCCTTCTCAAGCAGATCACCACAGTGGGCAATGGAGCTCGAGCCCACCAAGCCCTTCAGAGGGACTGTGTAGACGGCAACAGAAGAGGGGAGTGTTTACCCATAGATCTGATACCCCGTTGGCCAAGGACTATCCCATGGAGTATATTGCACTTCCATGATACTCAGAGGTGGGGACAAGGTTTGTTCTTGCAGACTTGTTTTTTGTTTTGTTTTTTTCATGTTGGAGTCCTGTTGTGTCCCCCAGGCTGGAGTGTAGTGGCATGATCTTGGCTTGCTGCAACCTCCACCTCCTGGGTTCAAGCAATTCGCCTGCCTTGGCCTCTCAAGTAAGCTGGGATTACAGGTGCACACTACCATGCCCAGCTAACTTCTGATTATTTTTTTCAGTAGAGACAGGGTTTTACCATGTTGACCAGGCTGGTCTTGAACTCCTGACCTCAAGTATCCGCCCACCTTGACCTCTCAAAGTGCTGGAATTACAGGCATGAGCCACCATACCTGGCCCATTCTTATAGATTTTCTATGCAGAAAATCAGAGAAGCTGGGTCAGGGTGGCTGAGGTGAGGTCTCCCCAGGTGATACTTGCAAGAGGCAGGTTGCCTCAGCAATGGATGCAAAAAGGTGGGAAGGATGTGAGTGGAAGGTGGAGAGGAGAAACCAGAGGTGTTCAACACAAGTGCTGCGTGTTCCATTTCCTCGCCTAGAATAGGATAGAGATGATAATCCCTCATGGGGGTCTTCATACAGATTAGCAGTAACACAGGGAAGCACCAAGTGCAGAATAGAGCAGTGACAACCCAGTGAATAAAATATAACTACAAAGGCCTCTTTTACTTGAGTTCCACTATTGTTTTAAAGCATCATTCAGTAATCGATACATCAACATGTACATGACATTTTAATAACACACATGGATTCTAGAGATCGTATGAGTTAGAGCATTACTCAGGACAGTAGTCTATTAGCTAGTCTTCATTTCCCTAAGATGTTTCTCACAACCTGCAATATGTAGGCATAGCTTGTTTTTCTTCATTCCCTTCATTTATGTAATATGGACTGAACTTTTCAGTGATAGAAAATCTCTATGAAAATTAAGACAATGTCATTTGCCTATAGACTTAGGCAAATTAGTTAATAAATTCAGTCTCCAGGTTGAGGTCTCTAAAATGCAAGCCCATAAAGAAGTGAGAGCAGAGAATACAGAACACTTACAGAATTTTGTAACAGACATGAACCTTTAAACCACCGAAGGACTGAATTTGATATTTTTTAAAACTTTTTAAAAATCAGCTGGGCGTGGCAGCTCACGCCTGTAATCCTAGTACTTTGGGAGGCCAAGGCAGATAGATAACAAGGTCAGGAGTTTGAGATCAGCCCGGCCAATATGATGAAACTCCACCTCTACTAAAAATACAAA